AAATTGATTTTTTTATCAGCTCAATGCTCACTCGATCTGTTCGATCTGTTCGTTCGTTCGCTCATGTATAATGATCACTCTTCTACAACGTCTTATTTCCCGTACCACTGTTTATTTACAAATATAGGCAAACAACAAATTTAAAAAATAGTAGATCAAAACCAAAGGAAAAAAGCAGTGTTACGGGATTTGAGCAATCTTTTATAAGTGTTAATGATTTCAGTAACTAAAATATGTTTTACCATCAAATAAATACGTTTTACCATTAAATAAAATATGTATTATTTCCGTGCATTTTCCGTAGCCAAAAAAAAACGTACCTTTATCGAAATTTCCGTACAAATTCATCACGAATTCTTTATAAGTTCCTTATGTATTACGTGCATATCACGTGCATATTCCGCACATATTCCGCACATTTCGGCGCATTTAACAGGAAGATTCTGTATCTGAAATTAAACACATCTTTTCCACATCTTTTCCGTGTGCAATTTTTTATAGGGCATAATTAGCACAGGCATGGATCCTTCAATTTTTTTGACTGCTTCTGATAGAGTAGTGCGATTTGAATGTCTTTTTTCATGAATATTGTGATAATCATCCAGGTTGTATATACAAAGATTATTTTTATTTTCATTGAAATATTTTTTTACTCTTAATGGATGTTCTTCTGCAATTTTCTTTTTATAATTATATACAGTTTTATAAGTAACTGAAACTCCAGCATTACCCAGTGCATCAATTCTATCACAAGATGTTCCTGATCCTATAAGATATAAGGCAAGTTCTAATTTAAAATTATTAGCATGTTTATTCCGGATTCCAGCCATCAAATACAAAATTGTAACAACTTTCTTTTTATCTTCCTTTTTATTATATTCTGAATGGTCTTCTGGTATTAATATATTACATACTTCATTGAAAAAGCCTTTTAAATTTGAATCATTATCTTTAAGCATTTTATTAAACTCATCAGGATCAAATATAGGACTATCATGCCTCTTATTGTATAATACTGTAGTCATTTTTTTTATTTTATCACCAAATGATAAATTTATGTCAAAGGATGTTGAAAATGCTGGTATGATGTTTGTTTCAATTAGGTTGATATATTGAATAATTTCTTTTTCTCTGTCTTCTCTTTCTTTAACAGATGGAGGATTTTTAACAATAGCCATGTAATGGGGAAAACAAACTTGTTGACCTTGTTGTAAATAAGGATATCTTTGAAGATTTCCTTTATAAGTTGCTTTTTCTATAGCTCTATCAGATAAACATCTAAAATTGTTAGAATTTTTATAACAATTATGAATAAAGCAAGGACCAGTTAACTTTGACTTTGGCATTTTTGAGAAAATTTACTTTTTAAGGGGATTTAAGTTTTTTAGAAAAAGAATCTAATTTTATTCATGTATTAAAAAATTTTTTTTTAAAGCTTCATTTATACATGTATTTTAATTTTTACATTTATTGGCTAATTAAACATTCAATATCAACAAAAAACAATCTGATGTTTTTTAAATAAACCATTCATTTCAAAGAAAATAATATAAGCACAATATGAATTTTTTTTATTTTGATATTTTTTCCCATTTCCCTATTTTTGTCAATTAAATCAATGCCATTCATTCATTTACTCAACAAAATGTTAACAAAATTATTGCTAAAAAGCAATATCCATGTTTCCATTAACTGTTAAAGTCAATTCAACATTTGTTGGATAAAATAACAATTGCAGATGAATGTTCTTTCTTATAAAACAATGAATGTATTTTCTTTTAAAAAGGAAAGAAAAAGATCAAAATGATGGAGATGCATTTTTTTGTAAATAAAAAGGAAAAAAAATCAACTTAATAATAATGAATGTATTAAAATCTATTGTAAAAAAAAAATAAACATTTTATTGATCACAATAACAAGATGATATGATGTAAAAGTTCTGCATAAAGTATTTTATAAAGGGTCATCCTATATACAGAAAGGTTCTTTTTATGAAATATACAGAACCTATGTGACAAATAAGAATTTATTTTTGG